TTGTGGAGGCAACCTTCCTCTGCTTTCGGCCCTGTGGAAGCACCACAATCCAATGGAAACTGTTTCCTTCGGTTCTGTGGAAGCAGCAGTCTTTGGCTCCGAGGCTTGAAGCTCCATTGCTGTTGAGCGGCTCCGTGGCCAATGAGCTCTGGCACCACTTTTGTCTTTGAGTCTCCTTCTCGTTCAGGTGCTTTTGGACCCATGTCCAACAGTGCCACTTAATCCAAAGATGATGCGTCGTTTTAATGTATAATTTACTTATAGTATTTTATTTTGTTTTTATTTTGTATTGTATATAAATAATTTCATATATTTTTGGGTTTACAGATATTTTTGTGTTATTTATTTTTAGGTAATTCATATATTAGTTTATATTTAATAATAAAATTAAAATTAAAAATTGATTTATTTTTATTTATAGTATTAAGGTAAAATTGCTTATAACTCCCCTGTGGTTTCAAAATTCAGCGTAAAATCTCCATGTACTATAAAAATTGCATGGTACCCCCTTATACTTTAAAAAATGTTGCATGAAACCCCACCACCATGAAACTTTCTTCGTGTGATAAGAAGATGATTTCCTATCTACATGTTTTGCATGGCAGATGGGGTTTTATGCAATATTTTTTAAAGTATAAGTGAGCGTCATGCAATTTTTTAAAGTAAAATGGGGATTTATGCTGAGTCTCGAAACCACAAAGTGGTTTCAGCAACATTTTTTAAAGTATAAGGGGACGTAATGCAATTTTTAAAGTAGAGGGGGAATTTACGCTGAGTTTCGAAACCACAAGAGAGTTATGGGCAAGATATTTTTGCCTCAGGTATTGATTGCCCCGATGCACAAGATCATTTTCTCACCCCATTTCAAATACACTTCAACCTCATTTCTTCTATATTTCTCTTATTTTTCTGGAAATATTTTTCCTCTGAGTTTCTTGTCAATCTTTGGCCCTTAGCCGCCCAATACAGTTTTTTTCCTGTCATTTTAGTTCTTCCAAAATATTGAGATTATACAAAATCCAAAGATGATACAATATTTTTAAGTATAATTTACTTATAATATTTTATTTTGGTTGTTTTGCATTTTATATAAATAATTTAATATAACTTTTTTTGTTGTATTGTAAATATTTCTCTGTTATTTATTTTTCAAATAATTTCTGTATTAATTTCTATTTAATAATAACATTAAAATAAAAATAATTTATTTTTATTTATAATATATGTATTATATTATTCATATTTTTATATTTAAATTAAAAATTTTGATTTATTTTAAATAAAAATATAAAAATTGACGATTTAATGAAATTTTTAGAATTTTATTCAAAAATATTTGTGTATAAGTTTTCAATAAATCTATACTATTTTATTTTTTTCTTTATTTTTGATATTTTTATTAAAATAAATTTATATGAAATATCCACAATTAATATACCATAATTAACATTCTTAACAAAACTATAACTAACATAATCAATAAATATATTTTATATATAAAAGTTGATAAAATTATTAAGAATGTGATACTATAATGTATATATAGAATACTTATTATTCATTTTAAAATTAAATAATTAATTTAGATTTAAATTTAAAAAATAAATCTGCTATTATACATATATAATAATTACATAACTACTGATTACTCAATTCTAATTTTTAAGTTTTTAAGATAAAATTATAGATATGTTCTTTTAATAAAAATTTAATAGAGGCATACAGAAAGAAAATTATAAAAATATTTGATGAATAAAAAAATAAAATATAAAAAGGACATGCATCGCACGGGTTTCCCACTAGTTAAGATTAAAACAAAACAATTAAAACTAAAATAAAATTATAAAAATAAGACACAACAATTAAAATTAAAACACAATTCCTAAAATAAAAACAATTTTACTCTACAAACCATTCTTACATTCATTCCCATCGATCCTCTTGTGCTCTTAGGCTTTCTCATGATTTCATCTTCGCCGTTCTTTCTGGATCTTGATTCCGCTGTCGCCATCGACCACTGGAATGGTAGAAAATCGCTTCAATCGTGATCGATCGGAGAATTTATCAAAGGATCCTCCTCGGGCTTTGTCCGTCGACCTCATTCGGCAGTCGCCTGAAAAGCCCTATTCTGATCTTCCCCTCTTCGACTATGATCTTTACAGATCCATGGTACCGGAGACGTGTGGGATCTTCGACGGTAGGCTTGAGACCTTCAAGATGGGGGGCCTTCAGCTGTCTGTTAAGAGGCTGTGCTCATATACAGGCTCGAAATCTTTGACCTCTGAGGTGCCGGAATCGCCCCACCTGTACTCCGACTAGATTGTGCCAGACAACGAGGATGCCTTCCTTTGTCCATCGCCGGTTGTCATTCAAAAAGATACGACAAAAAAACCCTTATAGCCGGAATTGATGCTCATAGCCGCCGTGACGTATTCCTTCAGTTCTTGAGGATTTGCTGTCCTCTTGCGACCACCTTGCCCTAGTACTCTAAGGTATATCTTCTGTGGCTTTTTTTATGAGTACTTGAAGTTAGGAATTTCAATTTTAGTGGCTGAAATGATGAATTTTTGTGTTGATTATAAGCAATATAGATTGTTGATTATGGGTAGTGCATATTGTTTATGGAAGGCTTTCTCTATGAGTAATGTACCCTATAGGCGCAAGATTATTTGCATAAACAGCTCCCACTCGATGATGAATTTCTTTACTAGAGTGTACTAATCGTGCATGGTGATAATGGATGCTTACTGTATAAGTAATGCAACCCCTATGCATTTGAATTCGTAGTCACTGCTCCCCACTCGATGAAAGTTATCATCCGAGAGTGTCTTGATTGTGTTCTTTGATGGCCCTGTGATACATATTGTATTTGGAGGCTTACTTATAAAGTAATGCAACCAATGTGCATTTGAATTCATATTCACTCCCCCCACTCGATGAAGGTTATCATCTGAGAGTGTACTGATTGTGTTCTTTGATAGCTCTATGAAGCATATTGTATTTGGAGGCTTACTTTTAAAGTAATGCAACCGTATGTGCATTGAATTTTGTATGCCCCAGCCCTTGCTCGATGATGATTAGTATCTGAGAGCATCCTATGAATGCCAATTAATTTCTGAGAGTGAGTTCACGACACTTTGTGATGTTAAATTGTGAAAAATGACATACAAAAAGTGTCACATATACATATTATCCCATCGAAAGACTTGTTGGGCATACAAATTGATTTAGTTATCCTAAAAATGACATACAAAAAAATGTCACATAATTATTCATATTTCCAGCCATTGTGAAATCAGTGGCTGAAATATGTGATTGTATGATGTATATGTAGTGTAACTTAATGGGGGAATGTGTATTTGGTAATGGAGGGAAAGTTTTCCTTTGATGAGAAGTGTTATGATGTGATTATCCCTCTTTGGGAGGAAAATGAATTATGTTTGCAGGCTGTTTTGTGTATTGATTTCATATGTGTTCACTATGATTTTTATTGTGTAATGGCATGATGATTTATCGCAGTTTCTATTGATATATCGCATTGTCTACTGATTTTTCCTTCTCAATGTATGATGTTACAGTAAAATTACAGTAAAACAAAGGTTTGTCTACTGATTTTCCCGTCTTGATGTATGATGTACGGAATGATAATGGTTTATACATTGTTTTTCTATTTCCTAATTATGTACACTTTTTTTTTTTTTTTTTTAATATCAACACTATCTACTTAATTTTTGGCATTGTAAATTAAGATTTTGCACTGTATTTAATTATGTAAATTATAAATTTAATTTTAATTTTGTACACTTTTTTCTTTTTTTTTTTAAATGTCAACATTGTCTACTTAATTTTTGGCATTGTAAATTAAGATTGTGCACTTATTTAATTATGTAAATTGTAAATTTAATTTTAACTTTTTAAATTTAATTCTGTATTTTTAATTTTAATTGCAATAGTTATTTTATTTATTTTGTAATTTTGCTAGTAATTCTGTAATTATCCCGCTAATTTTAATTATTCTTTAAATTTGCTCATTTTTGTACACTTTAATTTTAATTATTTTCCTTGAAAAGTACATTAATTACATCACCCTAAATAACCACTCAATTAAAAAAAAGAAAAAAGAAAAAAAAAAGTACTATAAGGGTGTAATGATCACTACAAAAAAAAGGACTATTTGTAGCGGTCAAAAATCCGTCACATAAATCCAATTTTTGTGCAAAATAGCTTTTTGTGTCAACTTTGTTGCGAATTTAGACCGCTACGAAAAATTGCAGTATAAAAAGTCTATGTTGCGACAAATTCCTTAACAAATAAGTAGTGGTCAACCCTCAAAATAAGCCTGTGTTAATTGTATTTGTTGCATTTTTTGTAAGTAACAAAAGCATCGGTCATGTTTTTAGAAAAACATATATCCGTAACAAAAAATTCGGAACAAAAGTTAAATCCTGTCAAAGAACTATTTGTTACGACATATTTTCGGAACAAAAAATGCGATACAAATATGGAATCTTGTCAGAAAATTTTTTTGTTGCAATCTTTGTCCATAACAAAAAATGTGTTACAAAAGTAGTGTCTTGTCAGAGAGTTGTTTGTTATGAAATTTGTCCGCAACCAAATATTTGGTACAAATTTAATGCAAACGTAAAATATTTTTTGTACCGGCTATTGTCTGTAACTAAAAATCCGCTACATAAGGTATCCATGCCTCAAATAAGGATTTTGTCGCCATAAATAAAATCCACTTGTTAAAATATTTTTTTATGGATCAATCTGTGTGACAAATAATTTAAAACACAATTTTATTATAATTAATCTTAAATCATTGTTCATATGTATATAACGACATCAATCCAACAACATTCGTTTTCATATAAAAAATAGAATATTAGGTGTCAATAGTGCTTTAAAGCATCTTCAAAAATCACCATGCCATACACCATAACAACCAACTAACAACTTGCTAATACTTGATCCCCAAATCCAAAAGTAATAGTGAATAAATAGATATGGTATCAAACTGAAGTACTATCCTAAGGTCGACTAACAAATACAGTTATGAACGACCAAGCTCATTGAGTACAAAATCACAAAGGAAGCAATCAGAGGCAGCGAACCAACTGCAATGTGTTTCCAATGATATATAAGAATTATATCAGAAACTAAAGTAATTTAATTCCCAAAAGAATAAACATTTTTAAAAAATGTGTACATCCTTGTAAGTGCACTTGATATTATCTCCGCCGAGCACGTCATCGAGGATCTTTGCTCCGGCATTACTTAGGAGAATAAGTGCGGTCTCTGGGACCGTAACAGCGGTAAAAAATCTCTTGACAATGGCTAGGGTATCACCTATATAAAAACATAAAACCAGAGGTAGTTATGATGAAATATGATATCTCTAAACAATATGGATGAATAGTAGATTAAAAATATTTATTTATAACTCAACTCATACATTATACTTACATATCATTGAAATGAAACATTACAATTCACCACCTTGAACTCAAGGAAGGTAGTTAGCTAAACTAAATGCAACATCACAAATAATTTAGTGGTTAATTATTGGTACCTATTGCACCATAAAAGCATACTATAGAAGCATCACTACATAGGTAGAAAATAGAATGGATCGAAATAACTATCAGTCATCATGTCAATCAACGGAAGAAAATGGAGAATGGATAAACAACATATATTTTTATTTTATAGAGAAAGTAAGCTACAACATTGAGGTAGCCTGCCACAGCTACAACATTGCATATCTACAAACATCAAAATCAGTGAGATACTGCATTTCCATAACTCCCAAAACATAAAAAATCAAAATTTTAACATGATATATAAACATTGTTATCCACGAAAATATACCGATGTACTCTTCTGATTTAACCACCATTAGCCTCAACAAATATATATTCATTTGACTCAGGTAAACCTGCAATAATAAGGTATATTTTGTTCCAGGGCATGTTCCACGCAATAGATTAGTCCTGATCAAATGAAAAAATATTAAAATTCTTTAGTATGTCATGACGGAAGTAACTAAACATCAAAGGACATCTCAAACATGTAAATTATGTCTTTAACCTAGCTAAGCTTTTTTCCTATGGCCTTCATCATAACTACGCTTTCAAAAACAACACGTATGAAGTTGATGAAACTCTCACATTTCTATTAGTTTAAGTCAGTCTATACACCAACATCAACTCCGACAATAAATTGTTGACAACCTCAATTTCTCAGAATAACATTGCAAACATCACATCTTAATGATGTCTGCCATATCTAATATTCCACTTATGCTCTTGGACATTTCACAATAAGTTCTAATTAAATATTATCAATTTAATCCAATTGTTTCTATTGAATTATGAAAAATCATGGATGATTGCAAGCCAGTCATCTTAACTAAAAAATGATACAAATCTAGTGCTTCCTCCTATTCTTACACAGTCTGCACTACAAGAGTGTCTTTTGGAACTCCATGATGGGGCTATTCGGGGTACTGAACACGCAAAACAGATAATGGTGGTTCTTCTCACTGCAAAGCAAGGAAAACTTGGTTATTTAAGAGTCTTGTTACACAAAAATCAACCAAAACCCTTTCATAATCAAGATCCAAGAAATTCTTGATAGGAGAGCACTAGTTGTAACAATCAATCTCAAATGAATGAATAAGTAAAGGACATTTGCCTCACCTCCTTGTATTTCGCTTCTAAGCATCGGTATATCAATGAATTGTTTAATGACTGCCTACTTGGTGGTGATACATATGTTACCAAACTCTCTTGGTCTATCCTTTGCTTTGAAATAATCAACAGACTTCACTGTCTGCACTCAAAATTGTTATAAAGAAACCAATTATAATCCAATATCATATCAGCACTACATAAATAGGTTAAAAATGAATTTCCTCTTTATGAGATGGGCAGCTTAGTAGAAACAGATAAGATAAATCTCCTCAATTTGGTGTTGTATCACAGTATATCTGATAGAAATTTTAAGTGCAAAGCATCAAGTAGCACAAAAATATATCATAGACTTATTCACCTATGTAGATGTCAATAAATATTATTAGATCACGATAGAAATATGATATTCATGTATGGACTCCAAAAAGTTAAATTTGTTGGAGTAAATTCATAGCAAACATATGAATGCTCAAATTGTGCATAAATTTAATCAAACCAATTAATTGTGTAACTAAGATTTTATTTATCTATGTACTCTTTTTTTCCTCACCCAATTGTGCTAGTTTTGGAACTTTCAGATCCTGCCACATCAATTAAATGCTATACAAGAGTGTAGTATCATTTTCTCAAACATCAAACAACCAAGTAGATAAAGAATGAACGACAAAGTGAAGAGAACCAAAACTATTTATTTAAGCATTAGATGCCAATCTACTAATATGTTAAACATTCCTAATATTAGATAATTTTACCAAACTAAATATAAATAGTTCCAAAATATAATTGTATATACATATATTAGATTGAAGAGGGAAAATATAAAAAATCAATAAAATCTATCAACTAATTCCAACATATAATAACAAGCCATGAGATAAAAGAAAAATATTGAAAATTGATGTCTCTATTTTATAAAGAAACCAATGCTAACGCCAATAAAATTGAAATATGTCTACCATTATAGTTTGGATAAATGTAAGACAACCCTGGGCAATCAAATAGAAATTGCAAGTTATTTTTTCTCAACTATAAAACATTTAATATATATGGAATATGCATCTTGATAAGCAGTAGTTAATGATAATATATTGAAGACAACCTTGAACCAAAAAAAAATGAAACCGCAATAATTCAGTCACATAATTAACATTTAGTAGCAAAGTTAATTATTAACCCTTGTATGCATAGGTTGTATCCGATTGTTTGTTATTTTTTATAGCAGTGAAACAAGGATGGAGGACAATGACACGTGAAAAGGGTTTCTCTCCAACTTACCTTTACAATCCGAGTGAATTGTAGCTATGAATGAATTTCCCAACTAAGGCAAATTTATAATTAGCAGCAAGTTCCAAAATTTTATAGACTAGAAGGAAATAGCTAGACAATTATTATATCTAGTAAAAAGTGCCAAAAATAACCGACTCAAATTAATCAATGAAAGACTTAGAAGCAGTTGCAGTATTTTGACGAGCAGTTTGCGGGTGAGCGAGCGTGAATTGGAAGGCACTGCATCAGCGTAAGAGGGAGAAGAACCAGGATCCATGGGACCCAACCTCAATCACAGTACATTAACCTCATTCAACAAGCCACCTCAAACAAGCCAGCACAACCCACAAAAATTATACAAATACCAAAATACCACAATACTTACAAAACCGATGGGGGAAAGGGAGAGCAAAAAACCTGCACAATAAGCCGGCGTCGGCACCATCTGACAACAGGTGAACGAAAAACAAATGCTGCGCAGCAAAATGTGAATCACTCGACTTCTAGGGAGAGACCGAAGCGAGGTGACACAACAAGGTACCCAAAGAAACACAAGGACGAGCCTAGGATTATCTTTCAGACTGACGTGGAACCGTGGCCGACAGCGGAGCTATTGTTCAATGAGGGTTAAGGAGGGATGGTAATCGATTTGGGGAGAAATGAACATCGAATTATGAAAAGTGTTAAGATGTTGTGTGTGTATCGATTTATGAAAGTGTTATCACGCCTTTACATATTTCTTTTTAGTTTTTTTTTTTAAAAATTTTTAAAACAATTTTATTTAGATGTATATATATTTTTTATATATAAATATTATATTTATTCTTTTGTTAGGGTTTGACCTAAGTAATAAATATATTTAGGACGATATTTGTTATAATTGTATTTGTTACAAAGAAATAAGCGAAAAAAATAAAAATAAAAGTTGATCAAATATAAATTTTTTTGTCACGATAATTTTCGTAACAAAAATCACCTTTTGCTACAAATTTATTGTTACGGACCATAAAAGTGCTACAAATAGACAGTTTTTGGGTAGTGGATCTTTTTATATCAAAACTACACCAACTATCATTAAAATACAATATTTTTTAAACAACATGCAAAGAGAAAATTTCAACATTTAAGATGGACGGAGGGAGTATTAAATTAGTATATAATCTAATATTAAAATAATCCGTTTCTAGCACGGGTTACATGCTAGAATCATAATATAATACAAAAAACTATAATATATATTTTTTAAAAAATAGTTACATTGTATTTTTTAGGTAAAATTGTTTATAACTCCCATGTGGTTTCGAAATTCAGCGTAAAATCTCCCTGTATTTTAAAAATTGCATGGTACCCCCTTATATTTTAAAAAACGTTGCATGAAACCCCACCACCATGAAACTTTCCTCGTGTGATAAGAAGATGATTTCCTATCTATATGTTTTGCATGGCAGGGGGGTTTTATGCAATATTTTTGAAAGTATAAGTGAGCGTCATGCAATTTTTTAAAATAAAATGGGGATTTATGCTGAGTTTCGAAACCACAAAGTGGTTTCATGCAATACTTTTAAAGTATAGGGGACGTCATGCAATTTTTAAAGTAGAGGGGGAATTTATATTTACTTCTTCTATTTTTGCAAATCCTTTTTTATTCTTTTTTTTGCATCACGGCATGAATATTAGGATTTATTAGTAAAAGCTAAAAAAAATACATAATAATAAGAATAATAAAATCACCATAATACGATAGTTAATTTTTACATAATCAAGTTTAAAATTTTAAAGATTAAACAAAAAATTTACTGTAAAAATTTCACTATATATATATGTATAGAGGGAGAAACACAATCTCCTTGTCAGAATATCAATGATAACAAATTATATTCACAAATAAAATATGAAAAGAATACGATAAATTTTAACGTAGAAAATCATGCCTCAATCAGCACTCAATCAACCAACGAAATAAAAACCTTTAAAAGAATCAAGATAAAGACAATGAATCTAAAAAATCTGTCACATTCTCTAAAATTATGGTCGGACTACAAACATCCGATCATAAATTCGACCGTTGGATTGAAAGAGAAACAAATCACGAATACTCTGCAAAAATTTCAGCTTGACTAATGAAACGGGAATCGATGTTTTTCCAAACCTTTGAATTTTTGGGCGAAAATGGATTTCTCACATTTTTTTGGACGGTTTTGGCTTGAGTATTTGTTTAATCTCTTTAATTGTGATGACCGGAACCCTAAAGTTAACTTAGATTGGGCTTTCAATAATATTTTATGGATGATTTTGGTATGATTATTTGTTCAATCTCCTTAATTGTGATGACCACAACCTTAATATTTGATTATATTGGGCTTTCAATAATTTGGATTTACCAAATATATATATATATATATATAGATGATTATAGCAACAAATCTTAATTCTATCAAAATTATTTTTTTTAAAAAAAATAAGAATTTTACAAATAATCTATATCTAATATTAAAAAATAAAGTAATTCCAAAAAATTGTGATCATGGGAATTAAAGTCCCTCCTCATATATATATATATCCTAGCATATAACTCAGTTATTATATAATGTGATATTTAATTTGATTTCATATTTTAAATACTAAATTTTATTTTTACAATAAAGCTTAGTATGAAAATAGCCAAAATTAATTCATAAAAAAAAAACTATAGGCCTAATTAAAATAAAAAAAGAAGAAGCTATATTAACATTAAGTCCTAACAATCCATATTAAGTTAAAAATCAAAATAAATTTAGAAAATAAATACAACTATTCGTAAGAAAAAAATATTGATATTTATGTCATCATTTTTTATCATGTTGCTAGCATGTAGTTTAAAAAATGAAATAATATACCAAATGATAAAACAAAAAATACTGTAACTAAACCAAATAAATAATATTAAGTAAGTGAATCCAAGTTTCATAAAAGATAATATTCCAATTTAAAATTAAATATAATAAGATGAAAAAGAATTATCCATATTCACTTTTAAATTAAAAATTAAAATAAATTTGAAAGAAGTTTGTACCTATCAATGAAAAAGAAGAAAAAAATTATTAATATTTTGTCGTCGTTTATATAATGTTGTTAGCCCCGTAGTTGAAAACAATTGTGAAACAATATACTAAATAAAATATAAATAGTAACGAAAAAAAAAAGTATACAAATAATATTAGTTAAGTGAATAATAAATCAAATAAAACTTATACACCAATTTAAATTCAAGCTTAAGTTAGATTAAAAATATATATTTGCGATCTTATTATATAAAACATTACAATAGATTTTGAAATAAATTCATATCTATCAATGAAAAAAATATCGATCTTCTTATTGAATTCTCTCTTTTATCGTCAGGTTGAATAAAAGGTTAAATAATATACCAAAAAAAAAATACATTAACAAAAGTAAAAGCAAATACCACTTAATATTAAGTAATGAAAATCATAAATTAAAAAATTCATATTTTTTAAAATAAAAATAACACAATATATAATTTAAAAATAAATACAAAATAAGAATGAATTAATAAAATAAAAATAATTTTTATATATATTAAAGCATACAATAATTTTCTCTATGAATTTTTCAAATATTCTTTCAAATAAAAAATTCAAAATTTGGATATAATCTACAAAATTGAAAAATTATACTATAATACAATACTCCTAATCAAATCAATTAGAAAAAACAGATACTTAATAAGAATGAAAAATAATTTATTAATAGAAAATAAAAATAACACAATGGATAATTTTTTTTAAAAAATTCATATACAATAATAATAAAAGTAAACATACATAACAAAGAATAAAAAACAATCAATTAGTAGAAAATTAAAATTAATTTAATACTTCCTCCGTCGCGGAACTATAGTCTTGATTGTGTTGGGCACGAGATTTAAGAAATATTGATATTATATTGACAGTGGTTAAAAAGTATAGGTAAAAGACATTTTTGCCCTTGTGAGTGTATTAGTGTAAAATGTAGTGGCAATTGTGTAATAATAATGAAAGAGTAAGGGTAGTTATATAGTGGTATGATTATTTATGAAAATAAGACTATTGTTTTGGGACGAACAAAAATAGTAAACAAGACTATTATATTGCGACGGAGGGAGTATTATTTTTGTACTTAAAAAAATAAAATAAATAAACAAACAAACAAAAATATGTTGTACCTAATCGCTCCCTTATTTTTTTGTCTTTTTTTTGTCTTCTTTCTACTTGTCTTCTTCCTTCTTTTATTTTTTTCTTCTCATTCTCCTTTTGTTTCTCTTTTCTCAATTTATTCATGCATAGTAAAAGTACAAATTTTAAAATTAAATATGAACAAAAGAATTGATTAGTAAAAACTACAATATATATAATCATAAGAATAAGATGATCAATATAAAAAGAATACAATAGTTAATTTCGTTATAATCAAACTTAAAATTTTAAAAGTTAAACCAAAAAAATTACTACGAAAATTTCATTATCAATATTGATCGGAAATTCATTCCCTTTGCAAAAATTACAAGGAATGATAAGAAATTATATAACATAGGGTAAACTATTTTTTAAGTATGTAACTAGAGCATGTCGCAAACTAGTTCTGTAAGTAGAAATTTTTTGCATTTTTAGTACTCCGGCACCGGAGAAGCTTGCATGGCATCCCCATGGCTCGCCGGAGAACATGTCGGCCAGGTTAGCGACACCTAGTGGACACGTGAATTTTTTTTAAAATTTATATATTTTTTATTTTTTATATTTGGTCCAATTAAAAAAAGACAAATTATATAAATTTATGTGTTGTCGTAAAAAATCGTCACCAAAGGCTTAATCGAAAAAGCCTGTCGGAATTGATTTAATTATAGGGTTCCCCGGCCTCCTCAAGAAAGGATCCGGGCTATCTCGCAATAACCGAAAAATTGATGAAAAAAGAAGGTAAAATAAACAAGAACGAAACTGAAAATTAAATTGGAATTAATCGAAGAAAACTGTAAAAATCTGGAAAAAATTACAAGAAAATAATGCAGAGAAAAATTATGAAAAAAGAAGAAGATTCATGATGAATGGTGTCCTCTTCCTCTGGTTCTACCCTTGGATATTTATTTTGTTTTTTTGAATTCTGTTTGGATAAGATATTATCCCTAATTATTCTTAACAACTCTAACCACCTTCACTTCCACCTTCTTTCATCCGTTGACTGCTTCAAATGCACCAGGCCGGCTGGGTCCTTGGGCTAGTCAGGTCCGTAGGCCCACTCGCTGATCTTGATCTTCTGTTGGGCTGCGAACCTCGAGGATTTGGGCTGCACTTGTGTTGGGCCGGTCCAATTAATTTTGAGTGTGTACAAATGCCCCCCACAAAATCATTTGGACAAGAATCAACTCGTGGTCCTGATGATTTTGTCAAATACCTGAGTATTTCCATGCTTCCTCGGCCTGTCCAACCATTTTTTTTTTTTTTTGCTTCTGGAAGGTCATCATTAACTGATCTTGTCTTCTTTCCAACTCCCAAAGAGAATGATAGAACCTTTTAAGATATCCTCTATTATAAACGTCTTCAACTCCTCCCCTTCGGGCTTCATCGATCTATATGCACCGTTAGAAAACTTGGCCGA